GCCACCAAGACAGCCCCGTGCTCACCGATGCTGACGGCACTCTGGCACTCCCCAGACATCCTGTTGGGGAAGACCAAACACAGGTGCCCTCAAGCCTTTGTGCTTCCCCCAAAAGCACCTTCCTCAGATGTAAAGCCTTGGTCCTCTCAACCTACCCCCACCCCACCCCGCCATTCATGCGTAAACGAAGACGTCTCTTGGAAGGGTGCCCCAGCAGTGGAGTACATCTCTCATTGACAAGCTCCCAGGGAGTGATGACCTTCCCACCCACTCCCTAGTTCTCAGACCCTCTTGGTGCAACCAATATCATTTAGTCCCACACGAGGACCAAATTCCTTTAGGAATCCCGTCTTTGAAAACCATGAGCAATGTAAGCAGCCTACAAATGATCCTGATGCCTATGAGCCCTCCTTTGGCAGACACAGCTCTGGGCTCGGCTGGTGTTCCACAGACCCGGCCCTGGAATGGCATTCAGTATCGCACAGCACCCTTGAAGGTCTGGCAGCATCTTCTAGCCATAACAGGAGGAGCGCAAGCATACACACACACACACCTCTAACGTGGATACACACACCATGCCTGGAGGCAGGCTTAGACAGGAAAGCCTCCAAGCCTCTGGGTCTCCTGGGGGCCAGGTGGGTTGGTGCTTACCTGCACTCCTCGCCCTCCAGCAGCTTCCTGTAGGTGGCGATCTCCACGTCCAGGGACAGCTTCACATTCATGAGCTCCTGGTAGTCACGCAGCAGCCGGGCCAGCTCCTCCTTGGCCTGCTGCAGGGCAGCCTTCAGGTCCTGGAGCTTGGCATTGGCGTCTTTGAGGGCCATCTCCCCACGCTGCTCAGCATCGGCGATGGCTGTCTGCAGATTGGCGTTCTGGGTATGGGGGAAGGGGAGTCTCATTGAGATCTGGGTAGCCATCGCTGAAGGCCTGCTCTGTTGGCTTGGCGCTTACAGGTGCACTGGGCACATGGGAGTGGTCTGGCTCAGAGAGGTTAGAAGACAGAGAACTGGTGTGAAGTAGAGCCTGCTCTTGTATCTAGGTCCTGCCCAGGGCTTCAGAGCCATCGGTTCTGTTCACCTGCTTCAAACCCCTGGTTAGAAGTTGCATTTCCACCCCAGATACACTGAACCAGGATCCTCCTTTTAACAAGATGCCCCAGGTAATTCCTCTGATCGCTTTGTTTAAACCTGTAGATTCTGAATCAGTATAGCCAAAGTCTCAGCAGGGGGTGTCAAATGGGAAGGAAGTGGTGCAACATCCCAGCTCTGGGCCACCATGAGGTGAAATGAGCAACACCTGATGCAAAGACCCGGCCCAGCTCAGACTCTTCTTTTTCTGTGGCGAGTTGGCCGATCATCTTCCAAACCCATGCTTCCTCCAGGAAGTCTTCCTGAACTTCCAGAGAAACCCAGGCCCTTCATCAGCCCATCAAATAGGGGCTGCCTTGACTGCTTTCCCAATCCAGCCTCCACCCAGTGGACTTCTTTCCGCAGCCTCTTCCCTCATTGTGCCTGCATCCTCCAGGCATGCAGTAACCTTCCTGTGGCAGGGAGACAGGACCCGGGCTCGCATACCAGTCTGGGGTCAGTGCGCACCCCTAAACCACCCTGGGAAACTTCTGAGAGAGTAGCAGTGGGAGCACGAGTGGGCCTTGAACACAAGCAGAGAGCCCTGAGCTTGGAGGTAAGAGCAGAGCCCACGGTCTCCTTGTGGCCATTGCCTCCTCCCACCCACCTGCTTCTTGACGCTCTCGATCTCAGCCCGCAGCCTCTGGATCAGTCGGTTGAGCTCGGAGATCTCGCTCTTGGTACTCTTGAGGTCATCGCCGTGCCTGCCCGCCGTGCTCTCCAGCTCGCCCAGCTGGTCCAGGAAAGAAGCCCAGCTAAGAGAGGGAGCAGGGGGGCGGGGCCTAACAGACCACCTGGTCCCAACACTTTGGATCGTAAACTGGAAAGGCAAGCATCTGCCTGCACACCCTTCTAGCTAGGCGACGGGGGGGGAGTGAGAATCTCTGGCTGCGTCACCCTGTCACTCACCTTGGACTGATACAGGGCCGCCGCCTCGGCCTTGCTCCTTTGAGCGATGTCCTCGTACTGGGCCTTGACCTCAGCGATGATGCTGTTCAGGTCCAGGCAGCGGTTGTTGTCCATGGACAGCACCACCGACGTGTCGCTGGTGTCTGACTGCATCTGGGACAGCTCCTGCAGAGCCAGGTAGCAGACCCGCTCACTCCTGAGCTGGCCCACCCGGGGGTGGGAGGTGGGGAGGGGAATGCCCAGAGGACAGCGGGCCACCAGCTCAGGAGGAAGGGCTTCAGACTGACTGAGGCATAAATCCATCAATGGCCACTTGGTACACTAAAGGCAGTGAGGCAGAGGTGCAAATTGCCTGAGTAGAGAACTACCCATCCAGGTGGGTGAGTGTCTCTTTTTCACCAGGGGGACCAGCAGAACCCACCCTCCTGCGGGTGAACCTCTGCTGCTGAGTCCTCTCCTCCTGGCAGGTGGGGTGATGACGAGCACACTTACAGCATTGTAGAGGGCCTGCAGGAAGTTGATCTCATCTGTCAGGCTCTCCACCTTGGCCTCCAGTTCTACCTTGGTCATGTAAGTGGCATCGACATCCTGGAAGAGAATCCAGCCACTGTCTCCTGTGTCCCAGGCACGTTCCTTCACCTCCCTCCTGCCGTGGGCTCTGTGCTGGCCTGGGAACGGAGGAAGGGGGCCCCAGGCCTGCAGCCTGGGAGCTCCCGCTCAGGGGAAAGGAGACCTGATCCGAGTTCAAGCAGATGCATCCTAATAAACTCCCAAACCAGATGAATGGGCTGTTCAGCAGACAGGCTGGACCAGAGAGCACGCGGCAGGGAAGAGCTAAAAGAGACCATGAGGCGGAGAGGAAGGATGTGGGCTGGGCTGGGACCATGACACGGAGACGGGGTGGAAATGTCTTGTGCAGAGACTCTCAGGGACAGCCTTCAATTTGCTGACGCACACTCGACCACACACTAAGGTTCTCTTGAAAGTTCCTGAGAAGGCTTTCCTGAAGGAAAAACATCATCTCTTTATCCACTTCACCATCACCATTCAAGACCTAATGGGGCTCATGAAGCCCACTTGCCTGGGCCACACACAGATCCTGCCCACTGCTCCGCTAATTGGCTCTTCCTGCTCCGGGCCTTGACTCCATCTCTGAAGAAGGCTCTCCAAGGAACGGGACTAGCTGGTGAGCCCCATCAGCTGCTAGGCACCACTCTGCCCGCCAAACGCCCCATGGTAGGAACTAAGGGAGAGGACCCCTCACCTTCTTCAGGACCACGAAGTCATTCTCCGCTGCTGTGCGCTTGTTGATCTCCTCTTCATACCTGTGAGATTAGAACCGCTTCCCATAAGGAACTTGGACTTGGGGCTCCTTGTCCTGCTGGTTGAACTTGGGTTTGTGTCATGGGAAAGCCTGGTCTGCAGCTTTCTGGGTTTCTGTTGGACCCAGTTCATTCAGCATATATTTACTGAGCATTGGCTATGGTGAAGAAGCCTTAGTAGCACAATGGTTAAAGTTCCCAGCTGCTAACACCAAAAGGTTGGTGGTTCAAACCCACCAGTTTCTCCATAGGAAAAGCATGTAGCAGTGTGCTTCTTTACAAAACCCTATGGGAGAGTTCTACTCTGTCGTAGACAGGAGCTCCGACATGCTGTCAATAGGGTTGGTTTTGATTTGGGGATTTGGGACTATGATGGTGGTGGTAATTGGACCCTAGAGGAGAACCCCCCACTGGTTAGGATTCTCTTTGGTGTAATCTTGGGAGGCTTCCTGGAGAAAGCTGAGTTCTTAAAAAATGTTTATCTAATCAGAGGGAGATGGCTGAACTTCAAGGAGCTTTTGGGGAAAGTGCCTGGTGCTGACCCTGTGGACAGTAAATACAGCCATGCTGTGGACTCTTGTAGATACTTGTTGGGTGAATGAAAACCAAGAATGAGTCTCAGAGGATGGGCCAGGTTCTGCTCCATGACGTGTACTTGCATTAACTCATTCAGCCCCATAACTGCTACCAAGAGCTCCATCTTACAGATGAGAAGACTGAGGCACAGGGTAGGTAAGCAGCGGAATGGGTCTTAAAGACTCCAGAGCCTGTACTTGTAAGCACACAGCAAGTTGCTTCCTGTTTGCAAGCTTGTTGGCAGGGGAAACAAAGCAAAAACAGGGTGGGTGAGGCCTCTAAAGTTGGGTCTATAAAGCTCATAAAGGAGTTTCGGGGGGGTTGGGAACCCTCCAAATTCTATTTACATGTAATTGAGTCCACTTTGGCTCATGATGACAGGTGGGTCTCAAAACAGCATTGTGCCCCCTAGAGTTATCCATGGCTGATCTTCTAGAAGTAGATACTCAGGTCTTCCTTCTGAAGCAATTCCAGGTGGACTCAAACCTCCAGCCTTTCAGCTAGCAGCTAAGTACATCATTAGCCATTTGCACCACTGAGGTCCTCGTGTGTGTGTGTGTGTGTGTGTGTGTGTGTGTGTGTGTGTCCATTAAATCCCAGTTCCCCAGAAGCCAACGAGCATGGAAGAGAATCCCAATAAGCCCATAACCAAGTGGAACACAGCTAAACTGGAGCCCACGCCTCTTGGAACCTTAACCAGGTCTTCAGCCATCTGCCCCCTGCCACGCCAGCCCCAGCCCACCCCACCGACCCACTGAGCAACACGCACTTCTTCTTGAAGTCCTCGACCAGATCCTCCATGCTCCTCAGCTCCCCCTCCAGCTTGCTCTTCTCGCCAAGCAGCCCATCCAGGAAGGCCCTGAGGCTACTGATGTAGTTCTCAAAGAAGGGCTCCAGGTTGTTGTGGTTGGTGTTGGAACTGGAGCCCTGGTCCTGCAGGAGGCTCCACTTGGTCTCCAGGACCTTATTCTGCTGCTCCAGGAACCGCACCTGCCGCCCAACAAGAAAAGGGAGTCAAGGAGCTTGCCGGGTGCCAGCTCCCCTCACACCAGCCCAGGGCTTGCGGGTGCCCGCCATGCCCCTGCTGCAGGACTGCAGTCTTGATGTGGCCGTGCTTCAATGCCAACGCCAAGGGTGGGATCCTGTGAGGAAGGTCTGGTCCTACAAAGGGATGGGGGCGGACTTCAAAAAGTTCTTAAGAACACGGAATGAAAAGATCACGGAATTTTTCCATGAGTTCTTTGAAGCCCCCTTGTATTTTGTAGATAAGAGGAAATATGGCTCTGAGGTGACCAAGGTCACCACTACAGCACACATTCACTCATTCATTCATTCACTCACTCATTCACTCATTCATTCATTCACTCATGAATCGTGCGCTGCTCAGCAAATTGTGGGCGACTCCAGCCTCCCGCAGCAGGGGTAGTCCTCCAGAAGATTGACAGTCCTGACTATGTGCACTCGGGGAAATAAAGGAAAACATAGAGAAAGGGCAGTCCCTTCGCCCAAGCAAAAGGTCCCAGATGCACCCAGGGCTGGCCGCTCTCTGCCAAACCCAGTCCCTGAGCACAGCATTTAAACAGAGCCACTGGTACACACGTCCTGAACATCTGTACACAAGTTTCTGCGAACCATTTCTGCACACAAGTTGAAAACCGAACCTGGAAAGCAGTAAAGAGGTCATTCAGCTAGCATTTGCAGAGCCGGAGCCTGGCAGGGCCTCATGCTGAAGGGTCAGGGCCACAGACACTTGGAATTCCCCTTGGGGAAGCAAAGAGCTGCTCCTGAGAAGGCCTTGGGCAGCTAGGCCCCACCTGTGGAGAATCATCACCGGCCCTTCTTCAGAGACCCAAGTGTCTGCTGAGAACCCGGTAGGGCACCCCCCCCCAGGTCACGTGACTTTCAAGCGCTTCATGTATGAAAGAGGCATAATATTCTCTGTGACGGCCAACTTCTCCCGCCCCCAGCCCCCTTCGGCTTGGCCCAGGCCATGCATGTCTATGATGACGAAACTGTCAAAGGGTTTCTACAAAGTCTCACTTCAAAGCCTAATACCATCCTGAAAAACAAACCCAAGACAAAACCAAGATCACTGCCATCGAGTCCGGGCCGACTCATAGCAGTCCCCGTGGGGTGCTGAGACTGTAACTGTTACGAGAGTAGAATGCCCAGTCTTTCTCCCAAGGAGC